ATCAGAAATTCACTTATAAATCTGCTAATGTCTGATCAATGCTATGCAGTTTCATTAACAATTCTAGCATTTTGCAAAAGCCATCTTTTGAATGAAAGGTTGGGTTGAACTTCATTGGAACTTTATTTTTAGGGAAGGAAAGAACCAACACACAAACACATCAAAAACTCAGACAAACACATGAGTCTGAGCCTAGAAAAGTGCTTGAACAGGACCTAGAAGAGGCTTAGAAAGAAAGGAAAATCTGAGCAAGGAAATTCTTGTTTCATTTTGTTCCTTCTATGCTATTAGAAACATGGCACAAACCCCAGAATTTCAGCTATCTGCACATCAAAGGTGCTAATAATATATTAACATGTAAATAATCTTACAAAACTTTTCAGTAGTCATGCTCATTTGTCAGCTTGGTGTGAAAGGAAGAAAGATGATGAAAAACACATCACAACTTTGCCTTGCAGTTGCTCAAGCTCAAAGTGAAGGACCTTACAAGTGTCTGCATTCAGAAGGTCCTCCAGCATAACTGGACATGAAGCATTAGACACCTCTAACATTAACGCTAATTAAATATATGATACCCTTTAGGGACTGAACTTCTGAGGTGCCCAGCAGAGATGAATGGGACTGCTGGGCACCTTCCCAGTGTAAGGGAATATTTTATTCTGCTTCATGACCAAATTGAGAAATCTGTCCCTGAATGGCTCTTCAGCCACCAGTTTTTGTCTTTTATACCACGCAGAGCTTGGCTTGCCCTGAACAAGAACAGGTAATTGAAGTCGGTCTATCTCCCTGTAGATGATGCTTATTACCACATTAAATATGGTATTATGTGTAACAAGTAACAAGAAAGCAGAAAACTGATAGCACAAACAAGCAAGTTAAACACAGCTACACTCATGCTGCACATTTAAAACAACTCAGGTTTGTGAATCATCAATGTTCTTTATACTACCCACATCTCTGAAAGGAACTTCATGACAGTTGGAAGACTGGCTACTTTCCTCTTGTAAAGCAAAACTATTCTTGCAGTAATTAACAATTGTTACTGCAATTTTAGGGGCTGGAATAAAAGAAATGCATATTATTCTTTACAGTGACTAGAACTCGCATAAAGAAACAAATTGTTAACTAAATTTTCAAAGTTTAAAACCATGAAGTCAAAGCCCTTACCCAGTTTCCCAAACAGTATCTTCCATATGGACAAAGTGGTCTATAAACAGAATTAAGGTTTTCTAGTTCAAATTTAACAGATTAGTGTCATCACTGGCCAATGAAAACTGCAGTTAAAGCTATGGTCTGAACTTCTGAAATGGAAAAATGCACAATAATGAATGTTGTTTCATATTCAGCTTGTGATTCACTGTAGACTTGCATGAACTTCTGCAGACATATTACTTAGCATCAGTCATCTTGCATTTGTACCAGGTGTTTCAGGCTATAATTTTCACTTCTTTTCACTGAACCTAATCTCATGGTTTAGACTGTTCCTGTGAGTGGTCTAAAACCTGCTTTGGAGGCCAAATTGCAATCTAACACAGTACATCTCTAATTCCTTCCAGTTTGGCCTTCTTGTAGAAGCCACATAGCAAGCATGTACTTCAGTTTATTTACGTAGATGGACAGGCCTGTTAACTCCTCAGAGATTTGTTTCAGGCTCTCTGCAGATGTCAGGCAGGTATCTTTGCCACAGTGCAGGTTGACCATGTTTTCAAAGGTATTTCCATAATCTGATGACTTCTAGAACTATAAAGGTTATATTCTAAGGTGAGGGGAACAGCAGGGAAAGAGAAGTCAAAACCCAACTACAGATCAACACAGACTAACTACATTATTTTAACCACAAACACAGAACAGGACAGAGTGACTTCAGTAATGTGTGTCTGTCCCCCTCACATCCCCATCAAAACCAAGAGATAAAATTGTACAGGAAAATTCAAATAGAATGAATGAGTATCAAAGACTAACATCTGCTTTATTGCAAAAAAATGAGTCACAGTCATGAAGGAAAGCATGTGTGTAAATACAGGTACCAGGAGAACATGGCAAAGAAGACTCAGGAGAATAAAATTACTCTATGGAGAGGCTGGGCAGGCTTTCATTCTGTTTAATTTTCTTTCCTTAGCTCCTGAACAAGAATAACTTGTATGAGACTGAAAGTAAAAGGTCAAAAAAATATAACACCGAAACATTAAAACACATAGTAGTATTTCCCACAAACCTGATGTATTTAAGATAACCTGCTATAAAAGTGATCTCAAACATACTAGGCAAGTCCATTTCATATTGCATAAATGATACCAAGAATGTGAAAAATTGACAAGGATCTCAGTGTATAATATATAGCAATTACAGGTGGTCAGAGCCTAATCTGAAAACAACTCCAAGGTTTGGTGGCCTACTAAGCTAAGGCACATGATATGCCTTATGCTCACTGGAGCCATAGACGGTTATAAAAGTCACAATGCAGTTCTTTATGATGCCTCATAGCACCCATAGCCTTGAATTAGATGCCAAGATTTCTCCTATAGCCCATAGGAAGTCCTCACGGAAGGGATTTACACAATCCAACATGCCAATCAAGGAGCCATTCACAGCTTACAGTCAGCCAAGCCTTGCCCTTCAGAGTCAGTTATGTACATAACTCCAGGACAGGAGGAGATACCAGTTTTCCCTTGAGATTCTTGGTTGTGAACCCTTTCCTATGGTTTGTTGTCTAAGCTATTTCATTTCCTTCATGTGACCCTCTCTCCCCTGCTGTTCTTCACTCCCCCCAGACAACCAACTGGGGAGAGCTAGGGAGAGCTCCAAGTATGAAATGCTGCTGGAATTGGGAGTTCCATCTAAAAAAGCTTCTCCCGCACCCATACTGGAGAAAGGACTCTGCCTCCCACCACTTCTCAAGCAGTCATTCTCTCAGTCTAAGCAGAAGCCTGTCCTTTTTAGGACTCATTGCACAGAAAGACAAATGAGTCATTCCCAGCCTCTCTCTCCCCCATTGAGTCCCACTGAATATCCCGGAATGGTTTGGGTTGGAAGGGACCTTTAAAGGTCATCTAGTCCAACCCCCTGTCATGGGTAGGGACAAATTCAGCTAGATCAGGCTGTTCAGAGCGCCATCCAACCTGGCCTTGAACACTGCCAGGGATGGGGCATCAGCAGCTCCTCTGGGCAATCTGTTCCAGTGTCTCACCACCCTCATTGTAAAAAATTTCTTCCTTATATCTACTGTAAATCTATTTCTTTTCATTTAAAACCTTTACCCTTTGTCCTATCACAACAGGCTCTGACAAAAAGTCTGCCTCTGTCTTTCTTATAAGGTCCCTTTAGATACTGGAAGGCTGCAATAAGGTTTCCCTGGACCCTTCTCTTCTCCAGGCTGAAGAAGCCCAAGTTTTACACCTTTTATCGTTTCTGTGGCCCTCCTCTAGGCTCGCTCCAACAGGTCCATTTCTTTCCTGTACTGAGGACTCGAGCTGAAAGCAGTACAGCATGTCATGCCCAGTATATAAACTGGAGGGAGTTGGCTGGGAGCTGCCAATTGCTGCTTGGAGACAGGCTGGGTATAGGTCAGCAGGTGATGAGCAATAGTACTGTGCATCACCGTAGTTTTGTCTTTGGTTGTTTGGGTTGGGTTTTTTTGTTTGTTTGGGGTTTTTTTTAAGTTTTATCTCACTTTGTTATTTCCCTTTTCACTATTGTTATTACCACCAGTACTATTATATTGCACTTTATTTCAGTTATTGAACTGTTGTTATCTCAACCCACGGGTTTTACCTTGTTTCAGATTCTCACCCCCATCCCACCGGGGGGAAGTGAGAGACTGTAGTTGCCGGCTGGGGTTAACCACGACAGCAGCCTGGAACAGACACCACTGTCCCTCCCGCTCACTCCGTTAACAGACACACGCACCTCGGAGGGCACGTTCCAGCTCTGCCCTGCCCGCAGCTCCCTGACGACACCGCATGTCCCCCGCGCCACTGGAGGGCGCTGTCCGCTGCTTTACACCTGTGCTCCCGCTGGGTGTGAGCGGGGAGGGGAGGTGCGGTACCTGAGCGCACCGCTCAGTGTTGTAGGCACCCGCACCACAGCAGGGTGTGAGCGGGCAGGAGAGCGGCGGTTCCTGTGTGCACGCTCGGTGCTGTACGGTCACTTGCACCACAGCAGGGTGTGAGCGGGCAGGAGAGCGGCGGTACCTGTGTGCATGCTCGGTGTTGTACGGTCTCCCGCACCACAGCAAGGGTGTGATCGGGCAGGAGAGCGGCGGTACCTGTGTGCACGCTCGGTGCTGTACGGTCACTTGCGCTACAGCAGCCGCTGCTCAGGACTGTGCGGGCGCGGAGCGGCTGTGCTAGGTGCTCCCACGCGGCTGCTAGCTGAGGGAGCGGGGCTTGTCCTCGGGGTTAGAGAGAGGGGCAGAGCGGGAAGTAGTCTGAACAGATGTGCGAAGCAATCACCCACGAAACTGAAGAGAATGCGGATTTTGAGAGCTCAATTCCCACTGGAACTGGTATCTAATCTCCTACCCCCGAGCGTGCGGGAACGCAAAGATCACGTCTGCATTCTCCTGAAATTCCTTGCTTTTTGTCCCTTTCCCTATATAGACGCCTGTCTCCACCTTAACACAAAATAACCGTCCTAGAGTAATCCACACCAGCATCCTACTACCGAAATGAGAAACCCTTTTCGTGATGTGGTCTAACTCCAATTGCAAAAGTAAAACAAATAAATGTATTCTCGTTCACCAGAACTTCCTTCGCAAGGCGGGAGGGTCCCGCACAGCCGCCGCTGCCTGACTCAGTACCACACCCCTCCCAAAGGCTCCACAGCCCCGGGATGGTTTTGAGGTACTGGCGTAGGGTTTCCTCGGACAAGAAGAGGATGTACGTGTTCGGGGAACTTCCCCCGAGTCGGTGCCGTCGGCACACAGAGCCCCCGCCTGTCCCCTCGCTGTCCCCCCGCCAGCGGCGGGCCGGGGAGGGGCGTCGCCGGGGGCAGCCCCCGCCATTGATAACCCCCGTGCCCGGCCCCTCCGCCGCAGCCGGAGAGAGCCGACCGCCGCGCAGGGGTGTCCGCGGGCACCTGCACCCACACCGGAGCACACTGTGAGCGCCCCAGGGACAGAGCGGAGAACACCGGGTGCGTTGGGGGGAAACACGGCTCAGGTGGGACACTGCGGGGCGTTAGGAGACCGGTCTGCTAGGAGACGGGTCCGGCTGCCGAGCGGCCGCCTCTCGCTGCTTCGATGCCGCAGCCAGAGGGTGCGGGCTCTCGGCTCACGCTGTCCCGGGATTACGGCTTTCCGGCTGGGGTGGTCCCGGGGACCCGTCGCCACCGGTCGCCCGTCAGCGGACCTGGGGGGAACAGGTGTGGAACAAGCTAAATGCCCCTGGGATAACGACCCTGGAGGGATAAGCCCGTTCTGCGCTCCTCTGCCGAAACAACCTCCCTCGGGAGCTGCGCTCCGACGGGGCGCGAAGAGGGCTGGGAGCAGCGGGGACACCGCCCACCAGCCTCCGTCTCTCCTCAGGGTGCAGAAGATGCGGAGGGCCGGCTGGCTCCGCGCAGGAGCGCTGCGTCGCTGAGGCACCGGAGGAGGTTCCCGCGGCCCCGAAGAGATGAGGCTGCCCCTGGCCCTGCTGGCCCTAGTCGCCCTCGGGGCCGCCGCCGGCGGGACGGGCCGGGAGGCGGAGGAGGTGGCGCAGGCGGGGCGGTTCTCCACGCCGGAGCAGCACCGGTGCAGCTGGGAGCTGCTGTCCGCGGCGGGGGCCAGCGAGCTGCGCCTGAGCTGCAGGCCCGCGGGTGGCGGGGCGGCGCGGAGCTGCGCCTACCGCGGGGAGCCCAGGCGCTGCCCCGCATACAGCGCCCGCAGCCGGCAGTACTGGCGGCAGATCCTGGGCAGGCTGCGGCGGCGGCGGCACCCCTGCGCCCGGGGCAGCCCGCTCACCGCCCGCCTCTGCGGCCCGGGCCGGGCGCCGCCCGAGGCGCAGCTCCGCCTCATGCCGGGCCCCGGCCCCGGCTCCGCCACTACCCCACCGGCCGCCACCGCAGAGCCCAGCCAGGACCCGGCGGAGACCTACTGCGCCGAGCGGTGGCACTCGCTGTGCAGCTTCTTCGTCGGCTTCTGGGAGGGCTGAGCCGCGCCCGACCCCCGCGGTGGCATCCCCGCCCTGCCTGCCCTCCCCGTACCTCCGCTTTGTCACCGTTCCGCTTTCCCTCGCCAATAAAGTGGTAACTACTTTCTGCCAAGAAGCTCACGTACTTTTTTTCTCTTCAAAGCCCTGCAACCCCGTGACACTGCTGAACAACACGCATGACATCTGTCAGCTGAGATGAGAGCATCTAGGGACAGTTCATGTAACTTGAGTATATTAGAGTTTTTCAAAGGGATAAACACTGGGAGACAGCTATTCCCCCCCACTCCCCTAATCAATTTCTGTAAGCCTAAAGGTTTCACAGAAATTGCCCAGCCAGAAAGCCAGACATTTATACCGAAATAAAGAACAGAGAGTTCACTAAGCTCTAAATCCTAGAAGCAGCTCTCTTGCTTACAAAGACTTACAAAGGATGGATGATGGCAGAGCGGTGGATGTGGTCTACCTTGACTTCAGCAAAGCGTTTGACACAGTCTCCCACAGCATCCTCGCAGCTAAATTGAGGAAGTGTGGTCTGGATGATCGGGTAGTGAGGTGGACTGTGAACTGGCTGAAGGAGAGAAGCCAGAGAGTTGTAGTCTATGGGGCGGAGTCTAGTTGGAGGCCTGTATCTAGTGGAGTGCCTCAAGGGTCGGTACTGGGACCAGTATTATTTAATATATTCATCAATGATTTAGATGAGGGAATTGAGTGTACTATCAGCAAGTTTGCTGATGACACTAAGCTGGGAGGGGTGGCCGACACGCCAGAAGGCTGTGCTGCCATCCAGCGAGACCTGGACAGGCTGGAGAGTTGGGCAGGGAATAACTTGATGAAATATAACAAGGGAAAGTGTAGAGTCCTGCATCTGGGCAGGAACAACCCCAGGTTCCAGTATAGGCTTGGGGAACGACCTGTTAGAGAGCAGTGTAGGGGAGAGGGACCTGGGGGTCCTGGTGGACGACAGGGTGACCATGAGCCGACACTGTGCCCTTGTGGCCAAGAAGGCCAATGGCATCCTGGGGTGTATTAGAAGGGGGGTGGTTAGTAGGTCGAGAGAGGTCCTCCTTCCCCTCTACTCTGCCCTGGTGAGACCTCATCTGGAATATTGTGTCCAGTTCTGGGCCCCTCAGTTTAAGAAGGACAGGGACCTGCTGGAGAGAGTCCAGCGCAGGGCAACTAAGATGATTAAGGGAGTGGAGCATCTCCCTTATGAGGAAAGACTGAGGGAGCTGGGTCTCTATAGTTTGGAGGAGATTGAGGGGTGACCTTATTAGTGTATATAAATATATAAAGGGGGAGTGTCACGAGGATGGAGCCAGGCTCTTCTCAGTGGCAAACAATGATAGGACAAGGGGCAATGGGTACAAACTGGAACACAAGAGGTTCCACTTAAACTTGAGAAGAAACTTCTTCTCAGTGAGGGTGACGGAACACTGGAACAGGCTGCCCAGGGAGGTTGTGGAGTCTCCTTCTCGAGACATTCAAAACCCACCTGGACACGTTCCTGTGTAACCTTATCTAGGTGTTCCTGCTCCGGCAGGGGGATTGGACTAGATGATCTTTTGAGGTCCCTTCCAATCTCTAACATACTGTGATACTGTGACCTCACAGATTAAATGAGCCACTCCAGTCCTGCTTCCACAGAGCAGATGATCACTGACTGTCTTCAAACAGGAGCACACAGTTGGGTGAGAAACCAGCTATGAAAAGACTGAGAAACTCTGAAGCAGGTAGGTACACTTACTGGGTTTGGGACATTAATGGTGCTTCAGCTAGTTAATGAGCTAAGGGCAATACCAGTCACATTTAGATGGACACAGTGTTGAAGTAGGCAACTTGTTTTACCAAGGAGGAAGGGTTTCAGAGGTTTAACACTACCCACTCACTGAATCACACCTGTGTGGTACATTTTGGTAAAGGGAGCACAGGTTTTCAGTCTTGATTTTCCTCCTTTAGACATAGCCCACTCAGCTTCTCAAAAAAGGAGTAGTTTCTACAGCCTGTACTTGACTGCATGTCAGCAGCTTCTCTGCCCCCTGCCCAGCACAGCTATCACTCACTGCCTAACCAGATCTCTGCCTCGGGAAAATACACCTCTGTCAAAGCTCTAGCATTACAGGTGAGTGTTTAGCTGTGTCATATATATTCTTATGGCAGCATTATTTACCTTCCTGGATTACAGAATTTCACCCTTTCATGCAAGGAAAATGAGAACAATGTGTTATAAAAGTTTGAATTTCACAGCTAAACTGTTGACAAGCTTAGGACAAAGACTAAGCCACACAGGTCCATGCAGCAGCCTACAGACATGATGTGGCTGAGCTAAACTAGAATTGTAACTATTTAAAAATGATCTTAACCTGGACAAGAGAGAAATAATTTCTGACTTACAGTCCTTTCAGCCTGAATGCTCAAAATCCGGTAAGATAACAAATAGTGATCACTTCCGTTAATGTAAGTTCATTACCTAATTGTTCAATTAGAGCTGTTTGAGACTGATGAAATACTGCCCAGGGACAAATTCAGTGCCAGTTCTGAAATTGTTTTATAAACCCTGAACTACAGGGTGTTTAGAAAGGTTATGCAATGAGAGCTGCTTATTGCTAGTCCTTATGTGGCCCCTTCAGAAATCCTCTAAATGCACCTAACCTACAACATAATGTGCTTGAAGAAAGCCACATGAAAATGGGAATGGCCAAAAGCAGAGCCAGAATTGTTGCTTATGTAGGCCTGTAAATGTGTGTGTAGCTTTGCAACTGCACCTGCAGTTACAATTAACACCATTAATCCCCACGTTTAACAGAGAAGGAGTACAGGATGTGAACACCTAGCTACCAGTCCCTGAACCTGGTTCATATATCAAGCTCCACAGACAGACCTGGGTATGGTCCCAGTGCAGAGGAGGGATGGTGGGAGGGAAGCCACAAACATGCCCCACTCCACAAACCATCTCCTCCCTGCTGCCCCATGCACGTTCAGGTGCCTGCCCATGACTGGGAGCACGTGCAAACTCTATATGGTTTTAAGGATGGCTGTGAGGAGGCTACCAAGAGGCAGCAAGGATCTGGCCAGTGGCTCTAAGAGGATCTGGACTGTTGCATACAGCTGTTCGTGCTAAGGCATTTTCCTTTACCACAAGTAGTGTGGATAATCCTCAGCAGCACTATACAGATCTTGATCATCAATGTATGTGACTTGCACAGTAGGTTTCTTTTAATGACAGCTCATTTTTCCTTCATGTATGTGTCACACCAGTAGCCATACAGCAGGCTGCTGACCATACCATTGCACAGTATCTTGAAATAATACATAGCTTTGTTTTAATTCCATGGCACTGGCACAGCATCTTTGTGCAGTGCCATTAGAGCTTGCATTTCACACCATTGGATGCAAAGGTGGAACACCATGGCAACTGAGCTGCTTACCCACATTGCCTGCATTTGAAAACCCAACTAGGAATTCTGAACAAATTCATTGTTTTACCCAAGAGGGAGAAGAAAGAAGAGGATCCCTGGCTCCCTTTTTCACCACATTATTCCCCTGACTCCCCCAAAAAGCTCAGCCTTTCTCATAGCACCACCAAGTAAGAAAACACAACAACCTGAGATATTGCATTCATTGCATTTACAGTGGTTGATAACATCATTGCCTGGTGCTGCACAGCATATTAAGGTTTTTCACTGGGTATTGCATATCACAAAGGCTGGAAAACCACAGTCAGGTCCTCAAGTTCGGTTTTAAGGGGAAAGACCACAGCTTTTTGCTTCCTAACTCAACATTTTCATCCCCTCTCATGATTAGGCGACACCTTACACCACCAGCTAAGCCAACCAAATACAGGAAAGTTTTGTAGCCATGATCATCACCTGCAACAGAATCTGTTCCCTCCCAACTCCACCATAACACAGACTTGTATGTCCCATCCCATCCCCTCTGTTTAGTTCAGCCACCCAAATCTACCCACTCACCCCTACATAGCCCGCCTTACTTCTGCTTTCCCACTGCAGCTGTGGTAGTCCTTCACCTCTTCTCTGACTCCTGGCTTGTCTGGCTCCTATCATTCCATCCTTCCTCCCTCAGCTCCTCATAGTCACCCAACATCCTCAGAAAGAAGAACCAGCATAGCCAGCCTGCTAGAAGCAAAACCTAGCTGCCTACCCCCCTGAGCCAGATAAACCCTCCCATCCCAGGCAGAAGCAGGTGGTCCTGGGCATAATTAACTTGCCCCACAGGCAGGTGTAGGTTGGGTTATCATCATAAGGATGTTGCCAGCTGAATGTATCAAGATGCTAGGGCTGCCTTTCAAGAGAAAGCATGAGCTACCTTGAAAAGAAGAAGAAAAAAAAAATCAACTGAATTTTTAGCCTCTAGATTGCGATTTCTGGGAGCAATAACTCTCTGGAAGTTTTCAGGGGCAAAAATAAAATCAGCTTTACACCATATTGCACACACAGCATTGTTTTCTGTCACTTGGCTGCTGAGTGGAGATGGTAGCCAGTTTGAGTTCACAGTTCATCATGCATTTATGAGACCATACAAACATAAGTCTGGAAGTTCCAACAGAATCTCAAGAGCTGGCAATACCATGCTTTTATTTTTCTTTGGAGAGAAATCAGTGGTGCTGAATCCAGGTATGTTGTTAGTGCAGCTGGCTTTCATTAATCTTTTTGTACATAGAAAACCCTTTATCTTATTAAATAGCAAATTAATAATTTTTCACCGCTTACTGAATTTGAAGGCACGATTACAGGATGTTCCTCTAATTAGGGAGGTTAAAGCAGGCAGTAAACTGTCTTGCTGTTTGCAGCAATCTCTTCCTATGAAGTGACATCACACAATTAATAAACGTAAACCTTCACTATCTGAGCAGAGCTGAACTAAGAACAGGAACCTCCAAAGGTTCAGCAGTAGGGTGGTACTGACAGTGATGGCAGCTTTAGGCAGATATGGCTGTGTCTGACTTGAAAGCATTTCCATTTCTGTAAGTCGTCTTGATACCTGTGAGTTACGCTGAACTGA